CAAGTTATAATTATTAATTTTATTTAGTTTAATAATTAAAAATAATTAAAAATAGTAGTTGTTAATTAATAAATAAAAAATAATTAATATTTATTTCTTAATAAATTAAAATTAATTTATACATTAATATTTTTAAATGCTACTATAAATATCTGTAAAAATGAAGAAGAAGAACAAGAAGAAGAAGAACAAGAAGAAGAAAGAGAAAAAAAAAAAATTTGTGTGCGCCAATAATTCCACGAGCGACCTTAACTACTTCCCCGATAAAACCAATCAAACTGTACTGATCATAGAATTTAATGATGAGCTGATAACTTAATCGTATCACCGATTTTCTTTTAGATTAAAATACTAATTTAGTCCCTATACTTTCATATTTGTATCAAATTTATCTTTAAACTTTAAAAATTACCAAAAATGTCATTGAACTTCAATTTTTTATACCAATTTCATCATTCTGTGGAGAAAAATGACAGGAGGAACGTTGAATTGCTAAAAAAATACACTTTTTTAAAAAAATATATATAATGAAATGGAAAAAAAAAATCAAAAAACACATAAAATGATGGTATGGTATTTTTCTCTTTCCAAATGGCATTAGAAACTCACATATTGATTAATGCAAATCTACCATAAATGTCAAATCGTGAAAGTGTCCTCCCTTTCACATATATTCTTCCCTAATCTATCTCCTTATCTTTTTCGTACCTTTCTTACCTTTCTTCCTTCTCTGATTCTTTCCTTTGGCAAAAATATGACATAAAGATTTGAACTTACATAAAATTAACAATTATAGACCTAAATTTCAATTACGCTCAATTAAGGTTTTGAACTCCATGAAACTTTCAACTAAGGTCCCAATTATAAGAAAAACTAACTTCTGTCAAATCTCCTACAATTACCGTTAATGTCTGGCACACTCCAGTACTCCACCCAACTATAATCGCAACTGAAAAAAAAATTATGTTGACATGTGAATTACTTTTGCCATGTGAACATAAATTTTTGGATTTATGCTGATGTGGTGACAAGACCCACAATTAATTATTAAAAATGAGATTTATTATATTAACTAAATGATAAAATCAATTAATTAATAAATTAAAGACGAAAATATATGAAACAAAAATAATTGCCTTCTTTCCCTTTCTCTTTCTCTCTCTGATTCCTTCCTTTTATCCTACCTCTGCAAACCCTAGAATCAAACCCAGATACCAATAATTGATTCATAAAACAAAAAATTATTAAAACCCCGTCATGAAATAAAACCTAGAAACAAATTCTAAAAGAATAAAAAATTTACAAAAATTGAAATTTTCTTGAATGAATCATAGGATCCGATTAGAGGAACCAAAAATTCTCTAAAAGCTCATAAAAATCACAAAAATATTCATATCAAATTCAAACTTCACACTGATTGCAACTAACTACTAGAATTTCCAATAAACAATTTCGACCTTCAATCCTCCTGATCAGAACAACAAAATTGCACAAACCAAAACTAGACTAATTAATTAAGGTATAAACTATAAGTACTTGCACAGATCAACGATGACAGCAATGATTTCTAGGTTCCCCCAACCCAGATCTCATCCCTCCTCCCTCCAGCTTCTAGAAAACTCCTCACCACTACTTCCTAGAAAAACCCACTCAAGCCCTACAACAATATCCACCGTCCAGCGAAGAAGCCAAAGCACGACTCGAATCTTGGAAAAGAGAGCGCCATCCCTGCCACTCAGAGGACTGGGTCCAACGATGTTGACTGGTTAGGTGAGTGCTATAGCTTGGAATCGATACCATCGAGCATAGATTGCAGCTTCAGTAAAGTTCAAGATGGGAATTTCAATTCTGTTGGGTCCGATAAGAAACTGGAGTCAGGGAATTTTGCCAGCTTCTGCACCGCCTCCGTCGAAAACGACGACTACTCCACCCACTACTGAACCATCTGTAATGATGAACCATTTCCAGATGAGAAATTTTCCAGATCTTACTGTACCTGGGTGAATTTAAAATTTACACACAACTTCTTGATCTTACCGTTTCCAGATGGATAACTTCTTTGGAGATGGATAATTTAAAGTCTGCTAAACCCACAGTCCAAAGGATGAACCGTTTCCAGATGAGAAATTTTCCAGATGTGACTTGCGGTTTCGAGAACAAAGAATGAAGCATGTTAAAATTAGGGATTTTATCCCTAATTCGTGGGAATCCTTGTTCAGAAAGACCATAAGCCCACCGGTGGGTACTAGTTATTTGTGGAGTTAAAAATTCATGTCTATATGACATCTACATAGCAAAAGTAATTGACATGTTAATATTATTTTTTTTTCAGTTGTGTTACAGTTGGGTGGAGTACTGGAGTGTGCCGAACATTAACGGTAATTGTAGGAGATTTAATGGAAGTTAGTTTTCCGTCCAATTAAAACTTTATTTGAGAATTTTCGTGGAGTTCAAAACCTTAATTGAGTATAATTGAAATTTACGTTTAAAATTACAAATTTTGTATAAGTTCGGGTCCTTATGTCATATTTTTACCCTTTCCTTTCTCTCCTCTTTTATTTGATAGTAGCAATACAGTGCTCTTCCCCTTTTCTCCTTCTGTTGTTTCTCTTCTCAATTCTCCCATGACGCAATCTTCTTCAGGCCAACCATGATCTTATAACATGAAGGAACAAGATTTGAATTTGCTTTCCTTTGGAAACTCGAATTTGAGTTCAACCAACCTTGCTCTCGTGGTATGAAGAAGCTGAATTTAGATTCACTCACTATTGAAAATCCAAATCTAAGCTCCACCATGTCATTTTCCTTCTGTTTTTTTCAATAATGAAAAGACCAACATAAATGTCATATAAACAAGAAAATATATAATATAACTATTTAAACTATCATTTCATTTTTATGAGTTAATTAAAATTAAAGATGATGAATTTTTGGATAGAAAAATCAGTTACATTATCATTTAACCAACGAAATGATGAAACTAGTTTTAAAAAATTGAAGTTAAAAGTCAATTTTAACATTTTTGAAAGTTCAAAAATAAATTTGACACAAATATGAAAATTATGGGATCAAATTGGTACGTTAACCTTTCTTTTACCCCGTCCTCCTGCCGCCATGAATCATAGTGTGAATTGTGAACGGGATAACGACTAATGAGTCAACGAAAACACGAGAGGCAACGAATTCTTCGGATACACGTTTCACGTTTTTTGTTGGATTAATACAACATGTTGGATTTCGATAAAAACCACTGCGTCCCAGTACCAATGGCGCCCATAGACAATCCAGTCCCTGTCTCTCAAAACCGCTCTACGAATTCCACAAAACCTGGAATTCCCCCTAACGTGGGCCTCTCTTTTTTTTTTCTTTTGTCAAAAAACCACGCACTGATTTGTGAATTGTGAGCCCCACACTCCCACAGAGCATATGGAATTATTCTGATTTCTGATTTTATTTTGGCGCGTGTTGAAAAGGGAAACGAGTCAAACGACTTCGACAACGACAAGGGATGGTGGGACTTTGTGCCAACTATGTGGCGGCTCGCTGAATGTGAATGTCCCAATCCCGACACGTGGTTTAGGGAGCTCCCTTTATTCCTTATCTGCGCCTTGCATACCAACCTTTTTCCCACCGCTTTGGTAACTAACGCACGATTCCTTCGTGGCTTCATGGGCCCACAATTAATTTTGTATTAAAATTGTTAAATTTTAGATTTAATTTAATAATTAAAAATAATTTATAATTAATAAAATAATTAATATTTATTATTAAATAAATTAAATTAATTTATAAATAGATATTTTTAAATATTATAATAAACTATTTAAAAAATATATAAATTAATAAAATTATGATTAAAACTATTTATCTTAACAAAATCTTTAATAATAAGAACATCAGTTGCTTCATGCCTTTTAACTTTCATTTTTTCTTTATTTTTTCACATGTTTTTTGAAATTATAAATATGATTTGTTAACAATATTTTCTAAAACAAAATTTTAAGAACATATGCAATGCTTTTCGTCGCATTTATTTAAATGTCTTGTTTTAAATTGAATTTTTTATTTTATAATATAGATTATATTGAATTGTAAAATAAAAAATATTAAATAAAAAATGAACCCCAAATATCAAGGTATTTACATTTATTTAATAATTAAAATTATATAATTCAAAACAATCTAAATTATCTAATTTTTATTTTAAAATTTTCAATAAATATTGAAAAGTACAATGATTAGCATTTAAAATTCAACATTCATGCTTCTTAAAGTCCTCCTATTCATCATTAAAGTCTGAAGTAATAGCTTGGGAAGGGTAGATTTAGAATAAAAGTATTTAATATATAATTATAAAAATAAAAGGATAACAATATATGAATAATTTATTTAAATTATAAATTTTGTTTATAATTTTTACATGTTATTAATTATGGGAGTCTCAATGGTGACAATTTCTAGAGTTTGGAGGGTTATTTTGGACCTTTTATTACAATGTTAACTATGGTTGGGAATCAAATGAGTTTGGTCATTTCATGGGATGGGCTGGTTTGCCTTCCTTGAGATGTGCTTATGCTAATTAATTTAGTTTTAATATGATGGATTTTATGGTAGTACGGGTCTGTGACTAACTAGCGTCATTTTAGTTTGTAAAAACTATGTAATAATAAAAGTCTCTTTTAAGTAGGATCTGTCATAGATACTAGGCTCTTGGTACCTCTACTTTCTCTTAATTATTAATAATATTTGCCTTCCCATAAAAATTAAATTGGCAATTAAATTAAAATAAAGAGTAATATAATTTGAGGTTAGTGAATATTAATCTTCATTTTTTTAAAAAAAATTAGAATTTTAAAATATATTTGAAAATTAAAATTTTAATTTAAAATTAAATTTTTTTTCTTATTAAATGTTAATACCTAAATTTAGAAACAAATTATATATTTGAATATAATAAGTTTCTAAATTTAAATAGTAATACTTAACAAG